TCACCAAATAGAGATTGAAGATATCATCATGAAATGAACAAATCTGAGAGAGGTCTACCCAAGGTACATATACACCAAGTATCAAAGCATTCAGGCTTGTAGTTTTCAAGAAGAAGTCGAAAAAGTAAAACATTGACACGGACGACGGAGACGGACGACGGACGACGACGACGGACAATCACTCATATGATAAGCTCCGCTCGACAAAGTCGACAGCGGAGCTAAAAAAGCTAGTTTTACTAGTAATCAAGTTTATGTATGCAAGGAAAATAAAATAAAATTAGATTTTGTCCTTTATACAATGTCACCTTCAATTACAAATCATGTGAAATACGAATAACAATTTGGAAATTTTAAAAAGTAGGTAAATAATATGCATGGAATTGACTGACTGACTATGCATATACAAGTGTTAAAATTAATTAGAATCAGGTTCGTGAGATACCAGTAGCAGTGAAACATTGTTTGTGTGGACACACAGAAAGAGATCATGACATGAGCCAGAAATTAATTCAGTCAATGAGCACTGATGAATATTAGCATATATTAGCATATTACACTACTGAAAAACCCTAGCAATGGTTTACTTAGCAGTAGAGTTCAGTCAGCCCTACCTTTGAAACGTACATTATTAGGTTTAGAGGTACTAGGTCTCTAATATCATGTAACTCGACAGGCAAAAAAAAAAAAAATAATTAAAAAAAATTATTTCAGTTATGAGCTAGACATATGTTGTAAGATAATAAAGTGAAATTATTATTTTTGTCATTTGCATCATTGACCTTTGTGAATATATGCAAAAATAAAAAAACATGCAGGTTTTATTGCTCATGGACATCGAATTTACTGTATCGCTCCCAATATAAATAAATTTCAAGAAAACTTCCATGTTTTTCAAAAAACAAACTCTTAAAAAACAAACATGTACAAGCACTAATTCCTCTTGTTTTTTAAGAATCAATAAGGCGTTAAACGATGAAATTGGAAAAGAAAATGAGAAAATCAATCAACGTTTCATCTGATGAGTGAAACATCCTCTTAGTTCCCATGGCAACATTCATTAGCATACTGAATCACAGACTCCAGGTCTGTTTTCAGTTTAAATGATTTTTAAGAATAAGCATTGATTACTGCCGAGCATCCTGCCGGCATTGATTCCACTGACAAGAATTAATGGATAATGTCATGGGGTTTGATACAACATAAGCATCAGTGAGCATTGTAACAAAATATTATAAATTGTAGGTGTAATAAATGCCACATGTTTTATTCCCTCTCATTTCAAACTGTTTTGTTTGTTTTTTCAACGGAAGATTCCAGGCCCGAAAAAATTACTTGCTCCCTGGAATCGACACTTATAATAAAATTTCTAATATGTTGGTGGTAGGTGTTGGAGGGTGATAGAAAATATGCTCAGTTATTTGTGAAAGTTTTGCAATATCTAAAGAACACAATATCAAAATTAATCCAGATGGCAAAGTTTTTCCAGACTATAAAAACTTTTGCATCAGGTATAAAATTAAAAATTGGCTCTGATGTTTAGTAGAAAGTAATTCAGAAGCAGTACAAACTACAGTTTTGTTTTGTTCTATTTTAAGTAGAAAACCTTTGCCTTTTTGTTTAAAAAATAAAAAAAATTCTCAGCAGATTTTTTTGGTCTATCATAATATAAAAAAATATCGGGCTTATTAATTAACGCTGCTGAAGACATGCAACAAAGACATACATTACTTAACAAATCTGTATTTTTTCTCAACATTGCATAGCTATAAGTGATTGAAATAGGTTCAGAAGTGTTCATCATAATACTGTGATATCCAGAAATGAATCTTCTTTGTTACTCCCCGGTTTCACTCTCTTCATTTACGTCAGTTTGACCTTTCAACTTTTCCATGTCGTCAATTTGAGACACCAGCTGCGAATGTTCTTGTAAAAGTTGTTGCAGTTCACTTTGTTTATTAGAGGCAGCGACCTACATATTGAAAAAGGGAATCATTTGTGATTATTTTGCTTACACATGAATTATCCAGACAAATCTGTAATAGTTTTTATATTTTGAATGCCAGGGAGAAATTTTTCTTAGGTATTTTTTTTTACGTAATTTTGAACGAAATGGACATTTTCCATTGCCTACAGGTCTTATGGTAGAAGTCTACTCTTAATTTATGATTCAGTTGGTCATAAATCACATGACAATGTTCATTGGTTTATTATGTAATATCATGAAGCATTTATTTAATGACACCATGAAATAGAATTTTTTTTTGTGTTACAGTGATGTATTTTGAGAAATTTATATTTAGAACAATTCCATAGAACACAATGTGAAAGAAAAACGGACATTTTTTTACACTTTTGTAAACCAAGATTTTTCATACAATTTAGTACAGCAGTACCCTATCATTCACAAAATTCAAATAAATAATTATATACAATTTCCAGCCTATGTCACCAGCCTACAATTTGAAATATGGCATAATATTTCTGCTATAGGAATAAAATGGCCGCTAAAATACAACCATAATTTTCTTCAAAAATAGGCAGGTGACCCTCAACTTTTTTTCAAGTCAATATCCTTATTTTTCCCGGGAGTACAAATTATTGGAAAATGAATAAATTCTGAGTGTTTGCATTTATGAGTAGGCTTCTACATTATGTACCTTGACCTAACATTTTTTGTTGAAAATAGTCAGCTTTTATTTATCGCCTTTTACAAAATTAACCTGTATACATTTATTTCTGTATTTTCAACAATTTTGATCGATACCTGTAGCGAGTAGAAAATCCATTTCGTCCAAAATTACAAAATAAATTAACTAGTAAAATAAATCCAAATGGGCAAAAGTTGATGGTAAAAAAAAAATTAGGTTTCTATAAAAATGATGTTTAGGCTGTTTGTTCACAACATACATATGAAATCATTATACGTGTATATGTGTTACATTGTTTACAATCTGTCTCAGTGTGCAACATTATACCATTCCCATTTTGTATAATCTACAGAAAACCTTCCACTGACACCCTACGAGCAACCTAATGGCTTTGTGTTTTGTACAGTTCACAAGAAAGCTTATTCAACAGAGTTATGAAATCAAATCAAATCCTAAATAAAGTAGCTTTGGGTAATTACAACAATACAGATTATGTTCGATACGGTGGATAGACACCAAAGCCTACAGTGCAGGCTAGGTGTGGCTGTACAAACTGAACACAATACTCAGTGGGAGGTGTACATGATACAGAGTGGGAACGTAACATTGACTGCCTAGAACATCAAATACTGAGACAACATGAAAGTTTACACTAGCGGATATGACTTCAATTATTGGTGATAACTTAAATGACAAAATTGTAGACAGATATCACTACTAAACTAATAAATCTCCCCCTCCCTTGCTTCCTCTAACGTACATTTGATATATTTGCTTCAACCAGATGAAAAGAAAAAGTGAAAGGAACATTACATGTATACTAATATAGGACATCGCACATGTCTCGCACACGTGCACAGTGACTGGTTGGTAGAAAGCGGTCGTTCGCACTGAAGATAAAATAATGGCATTGTTCGCTGCTGCTGTCGTATTTAAATATACATGTATGTGTCCCTGTTGACAATGAAACAGCTTGTGAGGTAGTGCTGTTCACTGAGTGACATTTCTTTCAAGACAGTCTCATGCAGCCTGGCATATATGTGAACATTTGACATCACAGTGCGATGGCCTAAGCTCTATAGAAAATTACTACCATTAAACTAATTCTAATTCTAAAATTCTACATATATAGTATTGTGTACACAAATCTGAGATACATTATAAAGTGCCCATATACTTAGTATTTAAATGACTTTAATCTACAGCCTAAGTCAGGTTGCTTCAGGGGAAGACTTAAATAGTCTCTCTCACAAGACAGGAGTGATTAGAGGGCAAACAGTCAGTCAAGCAGAAATGAGAATAGAACAAGAACAAGGTAAATATAAATTATGTAACAGCGAGGGGGCGAATACACTTCCAGCTGTATGGATTTATACAAGACTGTCGTAATCATCTGAGACACGTACGTGGTGCACAGTGATTACTGTGCAAGAGATCAGGTTTTAAAATAAAACCATACAGAGGATTTATATCACTTCTGATCTATTCTCATTCCTGCTAAAAAACAATGGAAAGCTTATCCCGGGGGGAAAAAAAAAATGCTATTTGCTGGGAGATGAACTTACGATATACTCGGCTGTGTCTTTACCATGAGGAATAGCTGACTCCTCAATGGGATCTGTTGAGAGCATGTCGTTAGAAAAATAGATAGAGATGAGGAAACAGGTTAGCGGGGAGAAAACAAACAAAACAACAAACACATCAAGAAGTCATAAAGAGCTGTGGTTGGTCAGTCAGCATCAAAGAAGTTTCATTGAGTCGTATTGGCACCAGAATTAGAGCAGGTTGTTAAAGCATAATAAAATGTTAGAAAAAATAACTAGAACAGCGTATTTTAGGAACAATTCTGTTTTCTTGAAGCTTCATCTCCATTTTACAGAGATCAGTACCAAAATATAAAACCCAATAAATAACATGTTTTAAACTAGATGCATGGAGTTTATTTTTATTATAATTTTTGTCTCATGGATATTTTTTTTCTGGCTCAGAGCTTTGTCACGTATACCTGTTTCGCTATTATTTAAAGACCACATGTAGATTAAAATGTTTTTAAGAAATTTTTAAGATAACAAACTAGCACTGATACATTTATGTTTTTTTTAACATATTGTCATCTGCTTTCAATTTTTTGACGTTTTTCACAAGTCAGTGCAAATCAAGACATTTTGTAGCTGTGAAAATTTCACTGCAGGTCATGTGACATCAGTGATTTTCACCAAATTTCATGAATGACATAAAATCAGAAAATGATGACAATTCTTAGCAGTGAAGAATTAAGCGGCTTTACAGTCTGCATATGCTTCTAATAGAACCAATATTTTATGCAAATCAACTGCCTATAGTACATTCACCATCGGGATGACGTAGACAAAACATAAACCTCTTATTACACAACAAAGGAAGTTCGAATTTATTCTAAAATTGAGTTAATCAATGAATCCTATTAATAGAACAGTACTTCCTGTACGAGATAAGAATTCACTGCGATGTATTGGAAACATTTTTTGTTTACAAAAATAAGCATGGCCTTTTGAATTTTTATTAAGTTTTTTTTCAAGGAAGTTGCGGTTCAGTATTGATATTAAGAAATATATTACATCTATATATGGATTTGTTTAAATGTTGTGTCATTTCTATGTTAACGCAAGACGCTCGGTGTCATGTTACTAGTTGTCACGATCAAAATTTATAAGAATATAGTTGAGGAAAGGGTTAACAAACAAACAAATCATTGCCCATACATACCTGCTGTAATCTGTTCAAAATCATCTATCATAAGCGGCTGTCCTTGTCCATCCTCATCGTCCACTGCAATTGTAATCACGGGTGCCGATGGGATGTTAACGGGCACCACCTCTTTTTCATTATTGTTCAGAGCGGGTCGACTTTGACCCTGACTGTTCTTAACATTGTTATTTGTGTCGTCTATCACATCAACAGTTCTTTGTAGCTCTGCAGACCGACTTCTAACCTTTGGTATTTGACGATTAACCGGTTTTGAATCATTTTGGACTTCCTGAATTTGTTCCAAACTTGTTTTCACTTCTTGGTCATTTGATCTATGACCCTCGTTTAGCTCAGTGTCGAGTGTTTGCGTTTCCGCAATGTCATTGTCCGGGGGTAAAATTTCTTCAGGCAAACGCTCATCATCCCCAATATTGCTAGATTTGATATTTTGCTCCATGTTTATTTCTAAGTCTTGATTATTGTTTTCTGTGAGTTTTTGCGAGTCCGTTTTATCATCTACACTATTTGTATCCACCACTGCTGTATCCCCATCCTCTTGCTGTGGAGAGGGAGACCGAGAATCAACTGCGGTATTATCAACATGCGGCAACGACACACTGATGCTACTGCTAGCGCAACGTGCTGTGTCTGGTTCCTCCCCCTCCACAGTAATGGAATCCTCTGGGATTTTGGTAAGGTTAACAGAGGAGTCTCCTACATGAATAAAAAAAAAACAAAAAAATTTAAAAACAAGACAATTTGTCATGTAGCAACACACCTTTACTCTTTAGATTACACAAGAAAGGGAATGAACCAGTCAATTATGAGAAATGGGAATAACGAAAACTTAAGCCCCCCAGCCAGGTAGTCCTGTCAAATTCAATCAGCCGAATGTCTGGGTAACCTTTCCCAAGTACAGTATTTGCTCTATAATTACAGTACAGCATACACTCACGGAAATGACACAGGCGTGTTTACGACCAATAAGTTGTATTTTAATGATCTAACACAGAATAAATGCAATTTTTAGTTAATGTGCATTCCTAATAGAGTTAATATTCTACCCACAATTCACTAGTACCATCCCTAAAAATTACACAGCACTTCAACAGAGTACTTGCTCCAAGCAGCACCTCCATGATTTATTACACTTAAATATTACAATAATGGAGATTATATATCAACCTTTTTACCACCAGACTTTTTTCTTATATTCTTTAAGATTTCTGAAAGTGAACCCTCATTTTGGAGCCAACAGACAAAATTTGAGTCAATTTTGAGTGTTTACTCAAAACAAATTTGGCTATTTTTGTCCCAATATTCTGAAGGAAAATATAACTACATGTATAATGGGACTATTATTGAATTTTTGATGAAAAATAAGGAAGTGGTGGTGTAAAGGTTAAGCATATAATCACTCTCTCAAACTGAGGAATTAGATTATTCTGCCAAAAAAAAAACTACATCTAAGAGGTGGGTGGATGGGGGATTCGATAAAAAAAAATATGATATAGAAATCAACTATTTGACAGTATGTGTGATATAAGACAGAGTGAGATGCAGCTTTGATATATCTCTGTAAGCAAGCATGGATAGGAATACTGGAGTAATGTGTCATTTTTATCTTGAATAAGCGCCTTCACACAGAGATATTTACATTCATCAAGGACACTGACGAATGTATGACGAATGATGTTTTTTTCAAACTGAGATCATTTAGGGACGTTAAAATGAATAAAAATTTAGGAAATATGTTATAAGGCAATGACTACATTCAGTGATTCAATGACACAAAGATGGAGATTGGTCATTATTCAAACAGGGCGTAGGTCCCCCACCCACTTTCATAGAATAAAGCAGTGAACACTTTAAAAAAAAAACACACGAAAAACACACTACATATTAACCAACACATCTTAAATTAATGCAGCACAATAAACATAATTTTACTGCTGCCAAGAATATTTTAACAGCACTCGTGCAGAATTCGGCAACTTACCCAGACAACAAACGAGACACATGTAACACTTTAAAGAAGGAAGAAAAAAAAAAGGGAGGAAGGGTGATCAAATTGCAGTTGATTACGGTATATAGCAGTCACTGGTGATACACTGTTGCAGTGAGGTGCAAGAACCTTTGAAATTTGCATGTGAGGTACAATAGTCAAACCACGGTACATAAATACTGTGAAGATGCATTTTCCGGTTCTTCACGAGTCAAGAAAAAGTGTTCACAAGTTATCAAATGGCTAACATTTCCAGTGAGAATATTCTACAACATACAGTATGAGTGCTGGTATTTCCATTTATAATACGTGTACACGAACAACTACATACAGTGTAGCCAAGCAACCAACAATGAAGACATAACACGATGTGCAGTTGGGGGGGGGCACACGAAAAGAATCAATCTAATTAAGGTTATTAATTGTTAAACAGTGAGGCTGTATAATTAGTTAATTAGTACACACACAACAGACAAACACATCTGAAATGTACATAGCAATGAATTACATACAGCTTTTTAAATAGACTGGTATAACCAGTCGTAGCACGGTAACAAGCTTCTCAGAGTGTAACCTACAAGGCAAATATTGACATAGCTGTGTGTGATCTACACATCTTCTCACAAAATCTATGAAATACAATCAATACATTTTTCGAAATGGAGAATTCACAAATTTCTTCTTATGGTATGAGTGATGGGATGCCCATTACATTGTTTCCATGGAGCCGGAATTTTATTTATTCCTAAATGTGGAAGGAGCAGCGCTTATTTAAAATCCCAGACTTGTCTCGTGTCTCGGATCACGGGAAGAGATATAAATGTAATGAATATTCATATAAACTGAGCACTAGATTCACAATCCTAATATAATATTATTACATGCTAATTACCTGGTATTACTGATTCGGCAACAGACGGCGTCGCTGACGGCACCGGGGGGTCGAGTCGTGACGTCTCCTATGAAGAAATTATCGGTATATTCATCATTTTTTTTTACAGAATTTTATTAATGGTGACAGGAAATCAAGATTTACTGAATCATAAAATATCTAACATCCCACAGCGGTGTTTAATCTTCGAGCAAAAATCGTTTGAGTGATCATCGTCTTTGATTGGTATGACATCAGATGGGTTACTCAGCTGGATTCAGATAACATAATATGCATGGATTGAGTTGAATTAGCGTGCAGTGAGTCTTGATAAGAAAATGCGGAGGAGTTGACAATTTATTTTGTGTATGTTTATCACAAAAAGGTCCCAAATGGCTGCCGAGATCGCATTGAGACCATGAAAGCCTCGGGATGTACTTTTGCCATGGTTACATGTGTCAACAGAATAGTGGATGCAGTAGAGAAAACTTATATAACTCGCGTTCCGTTATGTTACAGGCAAGGCAAGAAGAAGGAAAATATTGGTCTCAAAGATAATATAATTTAAATGAATGCACATGAAAGAAAAAAATTTTACCGTAGATTCAGCTCTGCCCTGTAAATTGTCCACATTAGTAACCGTCGTTGTCTCTGGTAATTGATCTTCTTCTGGGTTGGCACCGTGATGTTTTCGCAATTGTTTTGATGACGTTTGTCTTGAGATGAACCCAACGCCAGGTGCAGCCAGTACCTTAGCGTTACCGTTTAGAGAGTCTGGAAGAACCAGAAAAGAATTGCGTCATGATGCATGTACCAACGTAGGTTAGAAACTAATCGAAATCAATCATCTTTGAACATCATAATGTTGGTGCAAATACTTTAATTTTTTACAAAAAAATTCTTTTTACTGGGTAATAGCAGCATTGATTTTGAAACAAAGAAATAATATGATACTGCCTCATGGACTTTAGTAAAAAAAATCATGATTGGCAGTTTTTTTAGATGGTGCGAAAGTTCATAATGGCATTGAAAGGAATTTATGTACATTTCAGTAACAAAAAATTATTAAAGCATCACAGTCATTGCAGTATTCAGAAACAAAGACGACTGTGCTGATTCAATTACGTGCTCATTTGAAATATATGTAGCTGAAAGAAAAAAAATCACAAACAAATGAACAGCAAAGTTAAAAAAATTATTATTGC